CAATGAACAATGTTCAAAAAAMTGTCTGTTCCAGCTCCTGATCCTCCTCCTGTTTCTCCCTGCACCATGCAGCTCGTACTTCCCCTAAGAATGACAGGCAGGAATGGTTGAGATGTGCCTTAAGAGCATGCCCTGAAGCAAAAAAAAACAATGCTGATATCAAGTTCTGTAATCAGATCAAAAACAATCACGAAAGTTGCCACRAATCTGTACATCCCAGATACTTTTACTCCTTCTTGCCTTTTTYATTACAATAGCTGTATTGCAACTTAGGTGCACAGCATTATGTGTTGGGTGCAGTGCAGTCACACATCAGAGAAATGTAGGGGTGCTTAATTTCCATACCATCCCATGGAACGATACAAGATGGTATTTCTGAGATGAAAAACAATCAATGCAGCAATTCTGTGAGAAGAACACTTCAGAAGAAGACAAAGAGACAGTAAAGTGTGTAACTAAGAACAGGATCTGAGATTGTCAGGACTATTTTTTGCTTGCAACTATGCTTGGCCTCTTCTACCTTAACTGGACAAAGATCTCAACAGAAATTAAATCTGGTTGCTTTGCCAGAATACAGTAGGGCTTTGAAAGARTTCTGAGATCTTTGTTGGGATTAGTGGAATAATTTAACAGGCGGTCATGTTAGTAGGTAGAGAAGAAAAAACACATTTGCATTTCAGACTGTGTATACTGTCTGGGAATAGCAGAGGAAGAAAAATAAACCTGAAGATGCCTGAAGCTACTCTGCAATGAGGAAACAAAGCCCTGACAGAAAGTGGATGAAAGAGATAAAGTTAAGGGAATATGATTGTGAAAAAAACCACACAAAAGTATTTACTTAATTTCCAGACTAAAGCAATATTGTTTAGTGAACACTACTAAATAGTTGATTTTTCTCTTTTTAAATTATGGAATTATTGTATCAGAATAATTCAGGTTGGAAGGGACCTTAAAAAGCTATTTCAATCTCCTGCTCAAAGCTAGAATCACTATGAGGCCAGACCATGTTGCTCAGGGCTTTAYCCAAAAGTCCTGAAAATCTCAACAAAAGAGACATCCCGCGTCTTAGGATACCTTTTCCATTGTTTGATTGTCCTCATGAGGAAAAAGCTTTTCCTTAAAACCAGCCCAAACTTCTTGCTTCACTTTTGGTGCATTGAACCTCATTCTCACACCACACCACCAGGAGAGCCGGGCTCCATCTTCTTTACAAGCTCCTCATAAGCACTGTCAGGTTACTATAAGGTTTCCCCTGGAGACCTCTCCAGGCCAAACAAGCCCAGCTCCCTCAGCCCCTGTCCCAGGACAGTTGGTCCCAGTCCATATCCTGGAAAATCAAAAGTACAGAGCAATGTAGGTCAGATCTCTGAAGGTCATTCAATCAAACTCATTCTCAAAAGCAGGGGTAACCTCAAGCTTAGATGAAGTGGCATCCATCATCTAAAACCTGAAATGAACAAATTACATACATAAAACAATTCACAGTCAGTTTTAAATTCTATTTCTAAAGAAATCTTTGCAGCACTATGATTATTATTCTTATTTTCTAAGCACATCATAACCAATAAAAGCTGGTACTATGAAAAGATAAAGAGATGACAGCAGCTGCAAAAAATAATGGAAGCACTCAAAAATAATTGTTTTATAATGGCAAGGACAGGGAAAGTGAAGGATTTCAGTGAAACATKTATTAGAATGAGTACCAGACTCAGRTTTACTTCAGTTKCATAGAGAAGCARATGCAAATTTAAGACAGTTTTTGAGCATAACTATGAATGTAAGGAAAATCTTCAGACCAGATWAAAATGATGGCCTGGAAGTGACCACAGCAACAATGATCATCCAGACTCTTCTCCCAGGCTCAGCCTATTTTCATAGGGAAATGGTTCCTGCCTCCCGAAGCTCTGGAAAGGCTGTCCCAGTACAACACACAACTCCACAGGAGCAGGCTGTGACACAGGCAGGGGATGCAGAGATGAGCAGTCCCTATTCCACAGCAGAACCCAGCAGTGGGATCCTTGCAAAGCACAGACACTGGGCTGTTAATACCTGTCACTAACCCCTACAGGTGGTGTAAACCTTATATTTTTGCCTTGATGAAGTGAGGGGCTGCCCCATTCACTCACTTACAACCTTCTAACATCTTCTGGAGAATGGAAGTTGCATTTCTCTCAGCAGGATGCATGAAAGGCACTTCCAAATGGTTTTTAGTACTGCCAAGTATGAGCTGCTAGCAAACATGCATGTAGGGCTGTGACCAGGAACATAATTTAGCATTTAAGTTTGGGATTCCCTACAATTTGTAGGCTTTTACMAGACAGATTGTTTTTTCWGCAACATAAACTTAAGATAAATGTCTGTTTTTAGATCCTTTCCTATGTAAAGTAAATGAGTTTTTTCAGTTGTTAAAGGGGAAAAAAATCCTTTTACCATTTGGCTCTTTTTTTATCTTTCATCCAATCTGCTTGGATAATAYTGTAGTGCAGAAGGAAATTACATAYGAATCTGAATCTTGCMACAGAAAACTGAGAGTGAGTAACTTAAGTCACTTAAAATAACAAGATTAGAAACATTTCTATATCATTGTTGGTACTGTATAGTTATGGWTAGTAGAATATTTTAAAAATTAGGATCTAATTGTAGCATACTGGCTCTGCAAAGAAACTATAAAAAGAAAATACACAAGTTTTTCCCTATAAAAGAGTAATATATCTGTTCATTGCCTTTTAAGTATCTCTGCTCACATTTCATTCTGCACTAAAAATAAATGAAAGAGAACACAAAAGATCTGGCAATACTTACGTATCTGCTACCATCTGCTGACAAACAGCATTATTGACTTTATCTCAGTCAGTCTTAAAGAAGCAACTCTTATTTCCCTATAGGAAAGTTTCCATTGATGCTACAGTGGATGACAGTAAAAGTTACATTAATTTTTTAGTTCAGCATGTTGTAGCTATAGTAAGCCAATAATTTCCTATCAACTCAGCTAGTCTGCGTCACAGATCCATCGCTGACCAGCATAACCCACTCATACAGCAATGACTGCATCCTGCCTTTACTGAACCTCTTCAGCTATTGTAGATAGTTTCTGAAGTTAATTACTGAACAAATAAAAGACACTCATTCCTCATTTAGAAAAGATAATACCATTTATTACTAGTTGTAAGACTTTCCTAACAACAAGTCACAGAATGGGTCAGGTTGGAAGGGACCACAGTGGGTCATCTGGTCCAACCTCCTGCTCGAGCAAGGACATCCAAGGGCACATTGCACAGGATTGTGTCCAGACAGTTCTTGAATATCTCCAATGAGGGAGACTCCACAACMTCTCTGRGGAATCTGTTCCAGCGCTCAGTTATCCACATRGTARAGAAGTTCTTGCTCATGTTCAGGGGRAACTTCCTGTGCATCASTTCYGGCCTGTTGCCTCTTGTCCTACTCCTTGGCACATTTTTTTCCAGCAACATAAACTTAAGATAAATGTCTGATTTTAGATCCTTTCCTATGTAAACTAAATGAAGTTTTACAKTTGTTAAAAGGGAAAAAAAATYCYTTT